TACTTTTTTGTACCTATATATTTTATTTCTCCCTTAAAGTTCTAATGCATGTAATTATACACATATTTTTCTAGCAAAACTATCAACAAATCAGTACCTCTAACATCCTCTTGAACAAAAAACGACCTTTCATATGCCCTCACCTTCCTCTAAGTGCTGCCTTCTCCCTCCAGACCACACCTTCTCTGATACCACCTGGTGTCTGGTGTTAACATGAATACCAAATATGGCTGCTTATAAAACAGAGAAAATGCACCCCTTACTCTAAAATCAACACTCATAAATGTGTCTTTGGTGTTTTTGCTTGCATCTTTCTGGGTTCTTTTTTCTTCACTCAAAAACATGCCCCCGTTTTCCTCTCAACATGGTCTCTATGTGGTCAACTTTCCAAGTCCTTGTATGCCTGAAAACATCTTTATTTCACTGTCAATACTGAACGTGGAATTCAAAAAGTTTAACAGACATCTCCAGACACTTGTATTGCTGTTGAGACATATCCTGTCAATCTTTAAGCAATTTCTGTTTCCTTGACCATGTCTCTTGAGATTCTGTCTTGATCCCAGAGTCTGTGGTGTTTCACAATGACAGGTTTTGTTTGCCTTTATTCCTACCTCACAGGTGGTTCAATTTTTCTCTCTGAAAACAATTTTCCTCAGTTTGGAGAAGTATCAGCCATTTGATCAGAAATATCAATTAACCACTTTTTTCCTGTAATTCCCTTCTTCAGCTTTTCCATTAGATGCATTTTGGATTGTCTTTTGGATCTGTCTACTGCGAAACTGGGAGAAGGCAGTGGCAACCCACTCCAGTACTCTTGCCTGGAAAGTCCCATGGACGGAGGAGCCTGGTAGGCTGCAGTCCGTTGGGTTGCCAAGAGTCGGACATGACTGGGCTACTTCACTTTCACTTTTCACTTTCATGCATTGGAGAAGGAAATGGCAACCCACTCCAGTGTTCTTGCCTGGAGAATCCCAGGGACAGTGGAGTCTGGTGGGCTGACATCTTATGGGGTCACATAGAGTCGGACACAACTGAAGCAACTGCGAAACTGTGTTTTCTCATGTTCTCTGTTTTTGTGCTTAACTCTAGGAAATTTCTTCAGCTTGATCTTGTAGTGCACTAATTTTTTTTCAGCTATGCTTGATCTGTGACTATCTACCAAGTTTTTATCTCAAGGGCTATTGTAATATTTCTAATTGGTGCTTTTACATAACTATGTATCCTTATTTTATAGGTGTCCCACATGGCATATTTGTTAAAAACACAGGATCTGAAGCAGAGGTCCGAACCCAGGATCCATTCTTTACTAGTAACACATCCTCTGTGCACTTGTTTGCTTATCAGTAAACTGGAGATAATAACAGGACTTATCCTTGAGGTGGTTATAAAGACTAAGCCCTTATTATCCATGTAAAGGCCTCAGAACGTTGACAGAAACATCTTAAACCTCAAGAAATGACAAAAACAAGTGTGGTCTCTGGGGCCAAAGCATGTACTCAGCCTGTGTGCCATGCCTCTGAGCCAGTAACTACTTCAGTCGTATTAATTCCACCCATCTGACTTTTCACTGCCTCTACTGATTCTAAGGGGAAACAAAACTAAATTCTATTCTGAAATTCTTCCTTTTTCATGGCATATGCTTTACTTTACAGATGAAATGTGAAATCTCCCTTCAAAAACCAGAGTTTTTTCTAAGTTCTCTTCTGGTTTCTCCTCTAGATTGATTTTAACAAGAGGTCACCATTCATAATTCAATGTGCGTTGTCTTTCAAGTGACGACTGCCTTCAAATGGCCTTTTTTTAACCACCTGCTCCCCTCATCCTTCACACTCCAAGCACCCCAAGTCTAGCCTCTGGGCTCTAGAAGGTGGACAGGCAGGCAGCCCCCAAGAAGGACAAGAGGCATCCTGGGCTGGGTTGGCCAGAAAAGTGTGGATACCTTGGTGGGTGTGGGAAGGATCCTCAGAGCCCTGGCTCTTCTGAGTGCTCAGAGCAGGGGGGCAGAGGATCCCCCCAACTCTGGCCCTGGGTCCTGAGTCCCAGAGGGAAAAGGTTCAGGTTGCAGAGCAGGTGCCAGAGGAGGGTCCAACCAGCAGCATCAGGAGGTTTTTTATGCCCTAAACCTCCTTTAAAACAACACTGTATAGTTTTAACTTAAAAATTTTCCATTTTTATTCTTTAGTGTTGAAAAGAATGGTTTAAGAACTCTTGCGCATTTCAACAAATCAAAACCACAATGAGGTACCATTACACACCAGTCAGGATGGCTGCTATCCAAAAGTCTACAAGCAATAAATGCTGGAGAGGGTGTGGAGAAAAGGGAACCCTCTTACACTGTTGGTGGGAATGCAAATTAGTACAACCACTATGGAAAACAGTGTGGAGATTTCTTAAAAAGCTGGAAATAGAACTGCCATATGACCCAGCAATCCCACTTCTGGGCATACACACCGAGGAAACCAGTTCTGAAAGAGACACGTGTACCCCAATGTTCATCGCAGCACTGTTTATAATAGCCAGGACATGGAAGCAACCTAGATGCCCATCAGCAGATGAATGGATGAGGAAGCTGTGGTACATATACACCATGGAATATTACTCAGCCATTAAAAAGAATTCATTTGAATCAGTTCTAATGAGATGGATGAAACTGGAGCCCATTACACAGAGCGAAGTAAGCCAGAAAGATAAAGACCATTACAGTATACTAACACATATATATGGAATTTAGAAAGATGGTAACGATAACCCTATGTGCAAAACAGAAAAAGAGACTCCTATGTATAGAACAGACTTGTGGACTCTGGGAGAAGGCGAGGGTGGGATGTTTCAAGAGGACAGCATTGAAACACGTATATTATCTAGGGTGAAACAGTTCACCAGCCCAGGTTGGGTGCATGAAACAAGTGCTCGGGCCTGGTGCACTGGGAAGACCCAGAGGGATTGGGTGGAGAGGGAGGTGGGAGGGGGGACCGGGATGGGGAATACATGTAAAAAAAAAAAAAAAAGATACACTATGGTTGTGATAAAAAAAAATAATAAAAAATAAATAAATAAATAAATAAAAAAGAACTCTTGCGCATTTCAAGAATGGAAAGCAGAGCATGGTTCATGTTTATACTTTATATATTTTCCCTAAGAAAGAAACAGATGAAATTATAAGAATCTACTTTCCAAATCACAAAATAACATTTGCTTAATTACATCATATGCACATAAGTATAAACATTACACCAGTTACTCTTTACCTAATTGATGTTATCCAAGTAATTTCAAGTGACCATCCCAAAATACCTCAGTTCTTTTTTGCCTTCTAAAAAGGACTATAAACCACCAAGATACGTATGTGATAATAGGAACAGCAGATCATATGTGTTTGTGCTCTTGATCCTTTAATAAGATGATAGAATTGTATAAATTTCAAACTCTATTTAGTTGGTTAAAAGGTCTTTTTTTTTTTTTTTTGGCCAGGTTACGTGGACTGTGGGATCTTAGTGCTCCAACCAGGGACTGAACTCTCGTCCCTGCAACGGAAGTGCAGAGTCCTAACCACTGGACTTCTAGGGAAGTCCCAAGACAATCTTGATTCAAAAAAGCACTAAAAAAGCACTCTTCTATGATAGCTAAGAAGAGGTCATGGCAAAACACAATGGAACACAGAGATGACACATACGTTCTCCTTCTTTTATCTCATCCCTGATAAAACACAGAGAGATCAGCCAATCCTCACTGAATCCCTGCAGCCAAGTTAGCATCTTCCCCATTTTCCAAAAACCTCAATTAACCAATCGCCTTCCTCATATCCACAGACAAGGTGAGGAAGCAGAGCTTGTTCCCAGAGGGGTATTCTTTTAAATATCACACACTGAGATGAAAAAGATTCAGTATACATATTATCAATTCCAATCAGAATTTAACATTTTTCCTCTGGGCATCAGAGCATCAGAGGTGCTCGTTTAACAGTGAGAGCCCACGATTAGAGAATGAGACCATCTAATAAAGGTTTAAGAATATAAGTTAGTGTCAGTCTCTCAGTCGTGTTCGACTCTTTGCAACCTCATGGACCACTGCCGGCCAGGCTGCTCTGTCCATGGGATTCTCCAGGCAAGAATACTGGGGTGGGTTGCCATTCCCTGCTCCAGGGGAATCTTCCCGACCCAGGGATTGAACCCAGGTCTGCTGCATTGGCAGGTGGATTCTCTACCACTGAGCCACCAGGGACACACACACTTGTTAGTGCAATCAGAACTGTGTCATAGATTCAGCTGTTCACATACTCCAAAGCTGAGTGGTATGACTTCAATCTGATTTCTCAGCCCAGCTGAGAAGTTTAGGTCTTGCATGGCATCTGACAGACAATCTCTCATGCCCATCTTCATCACCACTTTGATGGAATCTCTTTAGCATCAAGTGCAAGGGCATGGAGTTGGTTTAATTCCATCCATTTCTATTTATTCATTTATAATATATTACTCTATAATTATAGATTTAATTGAAATGTCATAGGCATCTCATTACCAGCAAATTGGGTCCTAAACTGCCTTCTCCAATGACACTACATTTTATTTGTCACAAACTGGCTTTCCTCATCTCTCCTGATTCCTCCTCCCACCAACTCGGTTACCCTCTGCTGTCTCCTTCCTCCCTGGGAAGAAAGCCGACAGACCACTGGGCATCTGCCAGGGCAGGCGGTCCCCACCTCCGTTACTGAAGGACACACCTGGGACCAGCACCCCTGCCCTCTGCACTGAGTCATGCTCAGGGGCTGAGGCTTGGCCTTCGACCTACAGCCCCTTAACACTCGCTATCCCCAACCTCCGCCACAGCTCACATGCAGTGATGCACAGCCTACAGTTGCAGACTACACGCTCTGGCAGAAGTCTGGGACCCCACTCCCCATATCCTCTGTGAAGCTCACTTCGTGTCTATCACCGTGTGTTTGTGTAACGGTGATGGTCCCCGTGGGCACGGCTACTCAGGCCCAGCCTCAGGGCCAGGACGATCCTGCAGCTCTATGTGCCCAACACTGGCTCCTGTCCACCTCTCCGCCTGCTGTCCCACGGTCAGAGCCTCATCTGCCAGCTGATCAGTCACACTCCAGGGAGGCAGCAGAGCCGCCCGGTCCTCCAGAGACATCGTGCTCGCTTCCAGGGAAAGAGTGGAGCTTCTGAAAGCTGCCTCACAGGAGAGAGGAAGCCTCTTTCTCAGAAACCCGTCCTCCAGCCCCAAAGGCTAGGCAGCTCCCTGCACACCCTGTCAGAGCCAGGCCAGAGATGAGCAAGCGGCTTCCTCCCCGCGGCCCGGGCTGCACGGCCGTGGGGCCAGGTGGTGGTGATGCTGTGGACACTCCAGCCGGGCTGTGTCCTCAGACAGAACGCAGAGAAGACAGAGCGGGTGGGGACCCCAGGTCTTGTGTCCTGCCATCCTGAAGCTGGCGGCTTCACGTTCACCTGCCCTGAGCAGCCCTTCCTTTCCTACGGGCTCTGCGGCAAGAGCCCCAGCGGCACAGCAACATCCAGATCCACTACTAACAAGCTCGTCTTAGCGAGTTCCGGTGCTGCATCTAAACTCGCATCCCTCAGTAACAGAAACACTAGAAATGAGAGAACCAGCCTCAGGGAGACAACCAGCCATACAGTAACACTGGAGGCTGATCCACAAATCAAGGGAAATGTTCTCCAGCCTCTGTCCCCAGTTTCAAAAAATCAGGAATAAAACAACTGGACAATAAAACTCAATTTAAACTTTTTAGAGTTGATTATCATGTTGAAAATAGTAATAAATATGCTTTATAAACAAAAGATATAGGAAACCATGATGCAGCATATGTCATAAATGAGGATTATAGAAAAACAACTTACAGTGTAATGAAGATTCACTTACAGAATGTGCTTCAAAAACGATAGGTGGTAAAGCGCTAAGTGTGAGATCCAATTATCTGCACACCCGGCACTTGTGGCTTCATACTTGGGATTGCTTTACAATCACTATGCTGCTGTTAGCACAAGATCTGTAACGTGTGCACCAGACACTTTCCTATACATTTGCTTCATATGTTAATTAATACTAGAAAAAAAGTAGACAGCATTTCAGAACAAAATGCTCTTTCAACCATATTAACTTACTAAGCATTGCAAGAATAAGTGATACTGGAGAATTAAAAGACTTTGGCCAGAGGTGGAGACAGCACAGCAACACTGAAAGCCTGTAACCTTCTCTGACCTTCACAACAACCAAGGGCGGGAACCACACCCATGACCAAACAGGGTAAGTTGAGAAGGGGTCAGGAAACACTACGCCCACAGGAGCCACAGCCAGGACCCTGACTCGGGCCCTAGATGTCAGGAACAGGGACCTTCTGGAGCTCTGGGCCCTGGGAAGCCCCCAATCCACTCTGCACCTGGGTGACAACCAGACCCGGTGCACCCCATCCCACAGGTCTCCCCCTCTGCTCTTCACTCATCCCCCAGTCCCTCATTAAAATCCTTTTAGCCACTGTCCTCTTGTTTCAAAAGCAGCATCAAGATCAAAAGGAAATCAGGTAACAGTAAAAAGGGAAAGAAAGAAAACTGCCTTTTGGTTACAGGGTAAAAGCAACCAGAGGTCATGCAGGAAGCAGATAAACCAGTTATGGATGCTATCCCGCTCCTTGGGCTTGGAGGAGCATAAAACAGCAGCGAAAGGCAGAGATGGAAGACAGAGCACAAGTGTGAGCGTAAGGCTGAGAATCTGTCCCCTGACACCAGACCAGAGGAGAGCTTGGGTTCAGGGACCGAACATGAATGCTTCATGCTACCAGCCTGCCTGGCAAACTTGCAGTAAGCAAAGCTTCTCAAAAAGGAAATAAAAACCCCAAAAGCATATGAAGAATCCAACATTTGCAGAAGCTGCTGAAATTCTATGAGTCAAGAATGACTAAGGTTCTCTGCCCAAGCAGGAGTCCACGCAGGACTCAAGCCTGTGCCTGTTATGACCACAGTGAGACCCTCCGTCCTTGGGACACCAGAGTTCACACGACCCCAAGTCACAGTCACAGCTAGTCAGTATTGGGGCCTGTCATTCCTCCTGGTCTTGCTCTGTGTTTCCGGGTCATCTCATAGAAAGGATAATTTTCATTTATGTATTGCTATCTAATTTACAGACCCTCTTTAACAGGAAGAATGATGAGCATAAAACCGTTACTGAACAGGAATGCTCTGCTGTCTAACTTAATGGCAGGTACAGAAAGCAGAGCTGTTTGATCAATCATGACCTCTCTGCAAAAAAGTGCCTCTAACATTGCAGCATGTACCACACAGGGTAAACAACTAAGGTGTTAAAAACAACATCTAGGGCAGAAGTTATAAGTGTATCTCTGTCTACAGAGTAGCAAGTCCCCTGCCTCGGGTCTTGCCTTCATCCTCCTTTGGGACCCGCCCCCCCCCCCATCACAAATGACTCTGCCATGCTCAGGGTGGGCACAATTCAGACCTGCTCAGTCAGCCAGTCCACCCCTGGTCAGGTCAGGGTGTGCCTGCTACTCATTGACCAAAGGACAGTCACAGTTTTCCTGGAGTGGCTGCATGTGATGAGGGAAGGCTGCAGGCCACGGGCTGCCCATGGAGAAGGCCACTGGCAAGACCACGGCAATCCAGAACAGAGTCGGAGCTGAAGAGAGAGCCAGCCCCAATGCCCTCACAGGAGCCCTTCAATCCTGCTTCAATGACTGGATCCCAAAGGCCCTAGAGAATCCGTGACCCACTGTGAGCTGAGCACCTGGCACTTGTAACTATGGACTGAGCTACCACTCTGTCCCAGCAAAATGCTGTCTGGCATCTTCTGTTCTAAGACAATACCTTATCCCTGGTTTTCCAAGGGGTTTACAAACACTCTCGGCAATGATCATATGCAAAGAAAATCAGCAACAGACAGCATTCTTCTTCTTCTTCAAAATGGAAGATCTAGCTTGGAAAACCCAGCAGGAACTAACAGAGCGGGATGAAATCTGCAGTTTCCCACAGACACATGAATATAAGTGTTGGTAAGATTCCCAGACTGGCTCCCATCCAAACAAACAAGAAAAACTAGCCCACAGCGGTACACAGGACCCTGGAAACTTCAGCTTAAACTCACAGTACAGACACCTCTGCAATCTTAAAAATTCCAGGTGTTTTGGGAGTTCAAGACCATGGACACAAGACCACCCTCCTATAAGCCGGACCAGCCTGACTTTGGGTCTGGATTGTGTTTCAGAGAAGATCAGTAGAGAAGGAGCAAGTTGAAGAAGATGTAAGAAATAAGATGAAGGCAGCTGGTGAGAGCAGCTCTAATCCAGACACCTCCTCAGCAGGCCAAAATGGTTCTGTCGCTGGTCACAGAAACAGCCTCCCCGGAGCTCAGCGACTGCTCAGAAGGAGTGAGAATTTGGGAGGAAGATAGCAGGGTGGGGGGAGGGGCAGGGAGGAAAAGCTAACCTTCCCTTCTCAGACCCACACCACCGATACAACTTCACAGAAACCCCACTCTAGGGCATAAGAGGTGGAAAAATAACTGCAGGCAACTGCCGTTTCTTTAGGGCAGGTCACTCCCACTAAAACTGCTCCAGTGAGGATCTGGGGCTTCCAGAGGGAAGACGAGCTGACATGAACCTGTGATAGCAACCAGTGCCCTTTCTGGATGACTCAGGCTGAACTAGAGTGAAGAGAGCATAAGAAAGTTTCAAACATCTCAAGGGATGAGCGAGGAAATAATTAACTTTTGCACCTTCAAACATTTTCAAGTTAGAGTTTTCCAGGCAAAAATAAACAAACTGGAAATTGCAGAACATGGAGCGGATTCTAATACATCCACCTGTTCTTTGTCGCTACATCCTTGATGAGACACAGGCAGGGCAGTGCTATCTGAGGACCGTCACTCTAAGCACGACTGACAGGCAAAGCTGAGAACAGGAGCTCCTATGACCATGCAAGGCCTGCGGGGACCCGAGATCCCCTTCCAAACACGAAGGGCCCATGACGGCTCACCTTCTTGCCCACACAGGTGAGGCTCTGAGAACTGGACACACAGCACTAAGAAGTTGAGGAGCAGAAGCCTCCCTGGAAGTCCCAGAATCACAAGGATGAGAGTTTCACAAGGCCTCCCCAAACTGAACTCAACGACCTGGATTAACACACACACAGTCCTCTCCTGCTGTTGGAGACGCTGCGCAGGAGCCGCGTGAGCAGCTCTGGCACGTCCTCTCCTGTAACACAGGCCTTGCTGCCCGCCAGACTCACCGCCCGCACCCTCCCAACCCAGGGAGAAGTGCAGCGAGTGCTCGCACCAGAGCCGCAGGCTGTGTGTCTACGGTGGACCCGTCTTTCCATCCATAACTGAGATCAAACTTCCCCTGAAAGCCCTTGACTTGTACTTCTTCCCAGTGCCAGCAAAATGCTAATCTGCGATCGACAGTCAACGCAAGTGTAATACACTCATGCATTACATGCACCTTCTCAGCATAAGGGCTGCAAAGTGGGAACACGAGGCTCCCGGGGAGACGCTCTCCTCTCCTGAAGCCGAGAGCTGTGCCATGCTTCATGAGCTCCCACTTCCCAGGGAGCTGAGGACACAGCCTCTCCATACTAATTACATCTGGCGCTTGAGTTTTATAAAAGACAGAATGGACAACTAACAAGTTCTGAGTGTCTTACATAATCCTCCCCGCAGCCAAGCCCCAACCCCACCGCCTGGTCACTCAGCCTCCAGCCCCGCTTCCTCATCTGCAAGAGTTGGCTGAGGGGTCTCAGAGCTGCTCTCACTTTCAGTCAAGAAATACTGGATGAACAATTACGCATCAGTGCGTAAGTTTTGTAAAGTTCAGGGAACTCTGCTCAATGTGATGTCACCAGCTGGATGGGAGCAGAGTGTGGGGGAGAATGGATACATGTGTATGTACTGGCTGAGTCCCCTTGTTCATCTGAAACCATCACAACATTGTTAATCTGCTATACCCCAATACAAAGTAAAAAGTTTAAAAAAAAAAAAACGAATCACATGAGGACATTATTTTTCATACTGTTTACACAAATAGCAGGCGGAGAGACTATGAGTAAAAATCAACTACAATATAAGGAAAACACTCATTCTAAGAGGTGAGACGGGGTGAGATGTGGGGCGGCTTTAGGACAAGAGAGTGACTCTTGACGAGAAGGTGAGGGCACCCAGGCTGGACCTGCGGGGACTGGAAGGCGCAGTTGGGGGTGGGGTCTCTGGCTCCAGAGGATAAGGGTGTCAGAGGAATGGTTAGTGCTCACATTCACAGCAGCACCTGGTGTGAGAAAGTGAACAGAAAAACAAGAAGAGTGACTGGATTAGCCTTGGTGGTGCAGCATCAAGGTGGCAGGCCCCAAAGCTGGGAGACTTTATGCACAGGGAAGGCTGGACCGAGCCCCTCTGGGAAGGATCTACAGGGCTTCTGAATGTGCTGGGGTCGGGGGCACGACAGGGAAGCAGCCAGGCGAGCTGGATCAGGGGACAACGGACACCAGACGGGAAGGGGGGGGTCAGCTCCCGAGGGGTCTCAGAGGCAAAACACTGCCGCCCGTGGCTGCTGTGCGGCAGTGAGCCACAGGAGGCCTCTCACGCATGCCGGTCCCTCCTGGGGACCAGGGTGGAGCAGGACACCCGCTGGGCCGTGCTCGCTAAGGCTTCGGCAGGGCAGGCCCCTCCAGCCCTCGGGCCACAGTTCCAGAGGGACT